GACATCCTGTGCCCATTGAAATGGCTCTCTACAGGGAGATGCCTGTGCTGATCTGGTCGCTGAGTCTGCTTGTGATCCTTCYAGAGTTTTAGTATTGAAGATGCTACAGGGCTCTGCATTTCATCTCTAATGTCACTGTCTGGTGACAAATCAGAACCYCCAGTATCATCTGAAGAAAGACAAAAAGCACATGCTCCTGTATGGCCATAGAAGAAATGTGGAGATTGGCAGAGTTACTTTTAATTTTCACAAAGACTTCAAACAAGAAGATGCAAACACAGTGAAAATGACAACAAATTATATTAGAATTCCAGAACTAGACACCAATCTTAGCAATAGGAGGTGGGTTTTCTTCTGGCCTTTCTCCCATGCTCAGATGGCATCAATAACAGTTTGGGTATGACTGCTGTGTATTTGTGATTAATGATTGTCTCCTGCCAGAGATGATCAGTTTGTTTTTTTTAATCCCACCTCCTATTGCAATAATATTGGACTATTTTATGAAAGACAGTGGAGTCAACAAGAAGTAAGCAAAAGGGATGTCATTTCACATGGCCAGCTGGCACTGCTGCAATTCACTGTTACAGAAGGTCACCAAGTTTAATGCTTATGGGTTGGGCTTTTTTTCCTGTTTTATTTATTTTAATTTTAGGATAACTCTGTGTCTGTTAAGATATGTAACTCTACAAGCTAAGGTGAAAATATTAACTGATGGGAGGTGATGGCTARGTAGGGTTAGAAAGAGATTTCTCCYATCTCCCTTTYCCACTGTGAACAGTGCAGAACAGTTGGATGGGTGCATAYGGTTTGCTTTTTTTTCTCTTTRTTAATAACTTATGGGCCKTCATGGGAAAAGGTGTTGGAGCAAACGGGCTGGTAGACTAACCTGGGTGTAAGCTGATCTCATCTCATTAGACATGTTTTAAAGTTTAGGCACAGAAACAGACCATATCAAATTTTAATATGCAAAAGGCATGTTTAATGTTCATGTRTGAGAATGGTAATACTTCCTCCGTTATTTAGGACTCTAATTGTTAGGTTTAGCTGTAATTATTAGGCTTACTTTCCAAACCTGAAGGTTGTAAGCATGCCTGTCTTGTCACTATTTGAATTTCTTCAAATACCTGAAGGATCTCCTGGGATTTAGAAGTAAACAAATGAAAAGCTGACTGCTGTTTGTATGGTCAAACAGTTGGGGAAAAGGGCTTATTATTACCAAAATGAAGGCTTTAGAKGATGAAAAGCAGGTGACGTTTTGTTTTTAGCTCTCTCTCCTCTGTAGACAGAAGCTCAGGTCCCAGGTTGACTCGGTTAAGGTAGCAGTGTGTTATCTGTGATTGTGACGAAATAAACTTTAGACAGACCCTTCTCCCCTGCTGCATCTGCTTTACAAGAACATCCTCTCATTGCTGCTCCTCCAGGGGCTGCATTAACGTGCAGCACTGTAACAGCTGATCAGTGGAAACACAAGGTRCATCAAGCATTCACCACATTTCAGGCACACTGCTAGAAAGCACAGGATGTTCCCCTTGTCAGGAACAATGGTTGGTAGCTGGTGATGCTTCTCCCATGGAGGGCAGCAGTGGAGCTGGAGTGATGTTGGTGGAACTRAGGGGGTGGTTTGGGGAGGGAATTTGGGGTTTGTAGGGAAGGAAGAGCAGCATGGCTGAAACCTGTGGGACTTCAGCCTCCAAAACACCTGAGGCAGCAGTCACTGAAGTCCTGAGAATGGTACTCACGGCATTTTAGCGGCCTGCATTTGCCCATTGTATTTYCCCATTTGCCCATGTATTTTAATATTGGTAATTCCTCAGTTCTGAAATACTTTTCTTTCCCCCCAGCTTTAACTTTCTGCGCATGTTTATCATTTATTGAGTACAAAAGAGCATTACTCTTTTTCAACGTGTTTATGATACCCTGAACTAGCCACATAGCATAAAGTTTTTTTTCATTCAGTTTAAATGGCTGACACCAGTTTTTGTTTTTAATGACTGAGTATTGAAGAGAATGGAAGTGAGCAAGTGAAAATTACCTTATCTYTGTGGTGGATGTATATTAAATCAATAATGTGTTCATTATTTGAGGTAATTTTATTTGAATTTATTTTTTTTTTATTTACGTCAGTCTCTTTCCTCTCAAATTTTCACATGGTATTCTTTATCACTGCAATTATTATTCAGAACTCCACTCAAAAATCTTTTCTATTAATTAAAGGGTATTTGTGAGCTACAAATTCTTGGCTGTCTGTTGTATTCTGTTGCATCTGCCTACAGACTTATGCAAAAAATTTCATTTAGTGTGGCCAGTTCATGGCACTTGATGCTCTAAAGAGTCAGTAAGGCTATCTGGTTCCTAGATAAGGCCTCCAAATTCTTACTATTATCTAAACTGAGGATTAAAAAGTTATAATTTTCCAAAGGGTTCCATTACATTTCCTATTCTGCCTACTGTGCAYTGTACATTATTAAAGAGTACTGCTATGACATGCCCCCCCAAASAAGTGAATTAACATTTCTTGTGAACTCTGTTCTTTTGTGAAGAAGTAATAATGACTCAAGCAGTTCCAAAAGTTTCTCAGATGAATCAGAATTTATTACTTGTAAAATTAATGCCCATTACATTCACTGACACTGTGCAKAAGTTGTCATTTGTAGAAAAAACCTCTTTTTTTACTGTTTGCCCTTATTGATAACAGATGTGTGACTTATACAGAGGATATGGATAAATAYAGCACTTGAATTACATAATTTGTGAGACTTTTGCTTCACAATGCTCATCTGTTGTTCTCTTTACATACCTTTTCTTTTGTCTCCAAAGCAATTCTAGTTKTGATTTGTTGCAGCTCTTGAGAGTGAGTCCATTCTAGCCTGTGAAAAGATGAGCCCTGACTTGTGCTTTCGATCAGGCTTCAAGCCTTCTGAGTATTACCATTTGTAGAGAAGTTCTCACTGGACCTCACCAAAGTTGAAATTGCTGGTGTTTCTTTGTGGTGTTCATTATTTTTGTTTGGTTTTTTCCTTTGTTTTGTTTTTTTTCTTTTTTTGTTTTGTTTTTCTGTTAGTAGAGTCAATGATCTATAGGTTTAGTTTAGCTTTTCTTGAAAAGCTTATTTCTCCCTCTTGAAYTAAATCCTTAAATTTTTTTAGGCATACAACTGTTTTTGCCAACAGTTCAATCGCTGAAAGAAGACATGTGCAAGCCAGGAGAAATACACAAGTCAAGTATTATGAACTTAGAAGTATAACTGAGAAGATGCCTTCAAAAGAGATTCTTTGTGAAGAAAATGGGTTGATCAACCTCTAATAGGTTGACTACCAGGACTTATCAATGGCTTGTGTGAGTTTAGGATAAAACTACTATGTTATGAGCAATTCTTTGATTTGTGCTTCCTGCCTCTAGTGGGGCTAGAAAAATCAAAGTGAGAAGAAAGTGTAGGAAAACATAAAGTGGGGATTTAGTGTTTTATAGGAGCATACTTAACCTCTCTAGAGTTCTCTGTCTGTGTAATGGGGATAAAGTATTTAACTATAGCACRAGAAGTCTGAGTATTAATCGGATAATGAATTCATAGAACCCTGAGCATGAAAAGTGCRCTCTAAATGTTTCCCATAGAAATTTCTCCATTACCTAAAGAGAGAGGAAGAAAAAAAATCTAATTCATTGCTTTAAAGAACTGTGCAAATTCCATCAAGAACACAGATAATTAAAGTAATATTAATAGATTTTTAGGTCTTCATTTTCCCCTCGAGGCCAGGTGTCCCTGATTTTTTTCTTCCYTTCCCCTTCAAGTAACGTCCCTGACTCACTTGTGAAAGACTGAGAAGCAAAAGTGCCCATCTAGCTTTGAACTCGATACTCACAGTGGAGTTACAAGGTTAAATAAATGGGGTGGATTGCTTTTTTTTTCATTTTAAACTGAGCATAACGCTTCAAAAAGATTTTCTCTCCCCCCTCCCCCAATGTATTTTTAGGCTGTATGCACTGCTGCCCATGTCTGTTCCTTAGTCCCAGTTGAAGATTTCAAGGGAGATGAGGGCTCTATATTGTTTCTCCCTTGTATTGCAGATAGGGGGAGGAGGTGGTTATTAGAGAGAAGCGCTCTCACTCGCTCGCTCTCTGTTTCTCCCTCTCTGGCTGATAGCACTTATCTCTCGCTCTCTCTCCTTCTCCTAGGTGATCCATTTCTAGGCAACGTGCTGGCTGGTGCTGGAGCTGCCAGCTCTCTCTGCATCCCACCAGCAAAGCGAGCTCCAAAAGCAACCYGCAGACCATCATCTGCTTTCCTCTGCCTCTCTCCGGGTACTCCTCCTCTCGCTTCTGCCCTGTCCAACCACCACCTTGCGCGACAGAGACAGSACGCTGGGCTCCATTGGCAGATTTTTTTTTTTCTCCTCCAGTTGTGGGAAGCGATTTTTCTAAGCGAAGGGTGGGGGGAAATCTCTGCATTACTATCTGCATTACCTTGAAGTTCACTTTGTTTTTTGGCCTYCGGGGAGGCTTTTCCTGCAGGAATCTGGCTGCTGGGAGCGGGATCGCCTGCTCCCTCGGTCGCCCGCTCCTCCCACCTCGCTGAAAGCGAGCTATTTGCTGCGGGCTCCTGGGGCTTCTGTGACCAAGAGGGTTTGTGCGTGTCTGCTTGTGTGTGTGCGTGTCTGCTTGTGCGTGTGTGTGTGTGTGTGTGTGTGTGTGAGCGTGTGCGTGGTGTGGGTTGGAAGTTGCTGTGCAGCAGCGGGACCGAGCGGATCCCTGGACCCGGCGGAAGGATGGGGATTGTCTGACCAGCAGAGGCGTCTGCTGCCCGCGGCGGCGCCCGGGCTGGATGGATTTGCTGCCGGCGCTCCCAGCAATTCCGGTGCTGCCCAGGAGCCCCGCGAAGTGACGCGGGGTTTCGCCGAGGAGAGAAGCGCTCGGAGCCCCGGGCTCGCTCCCTGACCAGCCGCGGCTCTGCGCCAGCCATCGGGATTTACACGCTCCTCCGGCTGCACCTCAAACTCTTGGGCTTCCTGCGCTGCACCGTCCTCCGCGGCGGCACCGCTTGGCGAAGAGATCTGTTGTTAYAAAGCCTGGACCTCCGGAGGAGATGGAAGTTTTCTCCCTCATCCTGGTCGTGTCCGTCTGTTGGACTCGAACCTGGAAAGCGGCGATTGCAGATTCAATCATTCATATCGGTAAGGGGGTGCTGCGCCTGCTGGTGCTGCTGGACACTTCCAGCTCTCCTTTGCAACCTTCCCTCTCTTGGAAGGCTTTCCCCCCCTCCCCCCGCAGCTCTCACTCTATTTTATCGCTTGCTCGCTTGCTTTTTTTTTGTTGTTTTGTCCCCTCTTATAATTGCTTTCCACCAGGATCTCAGGCGTCCTCTTTTTCCCCTGCCGCGCTGTGTAAATGTTTCTTGGCGGCGGGGTATGTGCGTGCTTTAGACCTTGAGGTTTTGATGAGACTGATGATGGGGGGGGCCCAGGGCTCGGGCACTTCCCTGGTTCGTCCCCGCCGTCCCGGAGCTCCAGCCTGGCTTCCGCCTGCCCCGGCTCGCCCTCGGCCGGGGGACACCCCGCGCCTCCCCGTGTTCCTCACGCCACGGTGACAGCCACGCAAAGCCCCCACCCCCCACACTTTTCCTTCCCTCACACCCCCCATCCCGCCATCCTCTCCCGCGGCGGAACAGGTGGTTTGGCAACGTGAGCGCTTCCCGTGCCGCGGGCGGGCAGGGCGGCCGCGGGGGCGGGGGTTTGTGGCCGTCCGGCAGCCCCTTCCCGGCCGCCACCCCGCCGGCTCCGTGCGCGCCTCCCGGAGCCGCGGCACCGGGCAAGGGCAGCGGCCCGCCCTGGCCCCGGGGGCAGGGGGCAGCTCGGGTGATGCCGGTGGCGGCGCTGCCCTCGCTCCCCTCGCTCCCCGTTATCCCGAGCCCTCTCCGGCGCGGCAGCCCTCCCTGTCGGCGGCGCATCGCTGGCGATCGCCGAGCCCCGCTGCCGAGCGGCGCTGGGTTCCCGCGGCTGGCGAGAGCGGGTCGCCCCCCTGCGCCGGCCGGGGATGCGCGGAGAGGGAGGGAGCGGGGATGGGGAGAGGAGAGGAGAGAGGAGAGGAGAGGAGAGGAGGGCGCTTCCCCCGCGGCCGCTCGCCCATCTGCAGGCACCGCACGCAGGCGGAGCGGGGGCGGGCGGGCGGCCGGCGCCGCGCTGCCCCGGGGAAGGTGCATTTGGGGCCAGGGTCCYGCCGGGGTTTTGGGGAGGTTCGTGGGGCGGTGCCGGCCCCGGCTGTGGGGCAGCTGCCGCTCTCGCYGGGGTTGGCTGTATAAATATGTCTGCCGGTGCTTGTCGCGGGGATCCGTAGCGGGTTTCTGTGAAAGGGGAAGCGGGGAGAGCATTTGGAAAGCCCAGACGTCGGGAGCTTTCCTGCAGGACACCGATTTTTGGGCAGGGGTGCGCCAGCCCTTCGGGTAGCCGTCCCCGAGCCCACAAGCCACCGCTCCCCTTAGGTACCGCAACTTTATAGGGTCAGTCCTTTTGGCTGTGTGCGACTGGAGCAGCAAATATTGCACAGGGGAGGTAGCGCTCTGTGCCCTCCTTTTAAAGGGAGAAGGACTTTTTAAATTCCTCCCAGTTGTAGGYTCTTAAAGCGGCACTAGGAGACCGTTACGTCTTAGGATTTTTTTTCTTAAGAGCTTGAAACAAACGATCCCATCCTAAGATTTGRGGGGAAATTTTGACAGGGTAGCAGWTGAGTTTCTTTGCAAGCCCCTGTCGCCCATCCTCCTGGCTAAAGGAGCGCTGCTGGGCAAGCTGTGTGCGTTTGCACTGCCATCAAGGAAGACGAGAGCTTTTCTCCTCTCGTGTTAATGAAAATTTGTTTGGTTTACTTGTTTTATATGCTAAATCAAACACATTTTAACGCGTTTGTTTTTTATTGTGCTGTTAGTGTTAGATACATCAACACAGTAAATCCTCATTGAAAGCAAAAAAAAAACGAACCATCAAAACCAAAGTAGTTGCTTCTCACAATTAATTTGTCTTGAGAGACAATTGGTACAGTTGACAAGGGGATTAGCTCTTTTTATAGGCTGGTTTATGTTGCCATGAAAATGGCAAACTATATAACTGTTACACAGAGCTTTAAATCTACTAAAATGAATACTCTAAAAATAAATGACCTGAAATTAGAAATGTTTTAACAGTAAATGGGTACACAGCTAAATATTCAAATTTGTACAGCTCACAGAKGACAATTTGACTCCAAGTAAGACCACTGTATTTTGTGACCTGGTATTCTGATCCTCATTTGTTTTCTTCCACTTGTATTAAACTAATTTATGTATAAAATATTTAGACATAATAAACTGTATTTATTTAAATGAGTTAGCAAAAGCAGTAGTAGGGTACCCTATGAAGAAATTAACTACAGAACAAGTCACAAAGCCAAAGAAAAACCCAAAATGCTCAGTTCAGGGGAAAAGAAATAGTACCMGAGGTAGTACTGATGCCTCAGGCAGCAGACAGAATAAATACATTATCTTTTTCTCATTATGCAGTGCTAGGATATTCAAATGGAAAAGGTTTTCCCATGTTTGAGAGGGGTAGATGGTCATAAAAAATAGCATGTTACCTGTGCATACCCTTTTGCTAAGAGTACATACTTTTTTCAGTATAATGCCCATACTCTCTTGCTTGCCTGCATTTTATTTTATGTGTTTCCTGTAAAAGGATGCTTTTTGTCTCAAAGTATTTTTTCAGTCATCTTTCAGACAGTGCCAAAAATTTAGTGAGTAGGCATTAACGACTCGGTGATGTCAGTGGGAGGGATACGGTGACTGGTATCTATCTGTGATGATGCTCTTTCATATTCCTGTCTGCTGTGTACAGTTTATGCTTTTGATCATTAGAGCAGGTCTGTGTGTATGTAAATGAGCACATTTTAAAAAGAAAGGTTTTCCTGTGTCATATTTTAACCATYGGTAGAGCTGCTTATAGTCTGTACATTTCTGCTGCCCTGCTATTATAAATAGGAACTGGCAGTTCAGAAAGACTACATTAAGCACTCTTGTGAAAATGTTGCGATGAATCGACTCCACTATAATTTTCCTTACCCTTATATAAAAAAGAAAGGGGCAGGGTTACCATGTCAGAACTGTGCAATCCTGTATTATGCTGCTTCTCTCAGCCCATGCATTGATTGAGTAATTTCATCAGTCCCACATTACTTGATTGCTTAGAAGTTTCCTAATGATCTGTATGCTGTAGGAAGAATCTGAAAGTCGTGAGTGGAATGGTAATGATTCTGTGTTTTATGAGGCTATTCAAAAAGTCGCTCTGATTTATGTAGCTCGAAAGCTCCCAAGTCTTTGAGATTAGCCACGCTGCCTGGTATTTTCTTCATACATCAGTCATCCCACACTCCTCACTCCCTAAACAGGAGTTTAGAACAGTGTTTTAATTAAGCAGGGATTAGGTGGCATTCCTTGTCAACTGCACAATTTGCGTATGCTTTGTATCTTCTAGTGCTGATAGTCTGGTGCTTTTATATTTTGTACTTTGTGCTCATTATTTTCCCTTGATATGTACATAGTAATACATCTGTACRTGCTTATGGATTTCCTRTTATGCCTATAGAAACATATAGGCAGATATGTGTGTATTAGGTTTTGCTGCTAGGGCAGCAGTCACATTGTATGGTACAAAAGTTTTGCTGAAAAAAGATGCTAAAGTATTTTTCAAGGCTAATTAATCTAGTTCAGCCTCCATGGCTACTTCAAGTTGGTTTTTATTTTTGTCAGTAACTTCTGTCCTATACCGTCAACTGTGTACAGCTCTTGGCTTTATTATTTTTAATGAAAAATGCATGTATTTATATTATATATACATATATATGCTTCATATAATTATACATCTGTTTTGAATATATATATATATATATATATATATACACACATACATATTTATGTATACCATATTTTTTTTTCCTGAGAGAGAAAATTCATTCTGCTCTTCCCTTACTCCTCTCAGCTTTTAGACTTTGTAGGCCTGGACTGCTGCATTCCTTGTGTTGGACAAGTTCCAGCATTGCTGGGTCCTGAGTTTTGGTTCACACCTTTAAGCTCACCATGATTTATAATACTGAGGCARTTCCAACATGGGGCCCATTGCTTGTTTCTTCCCTTGATATTGGTAACTTTAAAATGTAATTTTCTTTTTTTTTTGTAAGGGAAAGGGATTCTTGTTGCTTGGTGGTATGCATGTCCACATTTCTTCTTGTAAGCTGATGTGCTACAATGCAGCTTGGGTTGTGTTGTGAATTGGTAATTGGAATTTAATTTGCTGTGCTAYTGGTAAAGCCTCATTAGGAGGTATGTAGTGTATGGCACTAACTATTCATTACAGTACTCTCACATACATTTGTAAAGCACGGGACAAGCAAGCAGAAGAGATTTATGAAAAACAAACAAATCTCTGTGTGCCTGTAGTGTCTGCAGAGGAGCGCTCAGGTCCCCGCTGTCTCTGCTCTAGGATGCATGAAGGTTTCTCGCTTGTTTTAAACACACCTACGAGTGAGGACCTGGAATCCAGCATGCTGGGGCTCAGCAGCCAGGAGGTTCTGTTAGAAACTCTGTTCTACTCAAACTCTCAGCCTGAGTGACAAACTCTGTGTTTCTGTTATTTCTGAAGCGCTTTCCCAAGTGCTCAGCTTTGTGCAGTGTCTCAGTCCCTGTGATGTGTGTTAGTTACTCTGTGGCTAAAGAGGGATAACTTGGCATGCCATGGATGAGGGCTTGCCATGTCCAAAGGCATGTTTGCCATTAGGTGTCACTCCTTTCTGGAATGTTTCKTATCATCAGGGCCTGATCCAGAGTGTCACAATCCAGGTGAGTTGTTTAGTTGACTTCAGAAGATTTAAAACTGAGCCTGTGGATTGCTGACCGCAGCAGGCAGCTCCTTTTCATGTTCTTAAATAACTCTTAGTGTTATATCAGGTTCTTTGTCCTTGATAAAGGCGGAGTGAAAAAAAAAAAAACCAACCATCCTTTTTCAAGTGGTGCCCTAACAAATGTTTGACACGGCAATCACTGCTGCTGCTCTGTGCTTTCAGATGACTACTTATGGATGCACTGAGCCTTTATTCTCACAGTGCCATCTTTGAAAAAACACACTGGAGAAAAATCTTTTAAGACTGTGACTACATA